AAAAAAAAGAAGACTAATCCTTTTTATTATACCGAGTAATAGCCATTTATATAACTCGAATAGTACCCTCAACCTCTCACTCTATACTAGTCCATACTACCACATTAAACTCGCCGACAATCGCTTATCAGATCTCCTTCAAACCAGGCAGTGTTTGACCAGACGGAGACCGGTTGACGCCGCTATCCACGCGCAGAACGACTTTCACGCTAATGGCCCTGGCTTCTCTGATACAGCACGCTAGACATGTCCGTCCGACTCTGCCAATGAGAGCATTGTATCCAATTGAAGCGCACCACGCTCGGGCGAAGGTCTCCCTTTCGTGACCGCCACGCGCGTCGACAATGAGCACTTCGTGCTTCTTATGATGGTTACTGTGAAGGTTGCTGCGGGGGCTGTCTTCGAGGAAAGCGTCATCAGGGACATAGTGCTCTGGGAGGGACTCTAGCGAGATGTGTTTATATCTGTACCCGCTGTGGAGTGGATGGCCTGGGAGACGGTGGTGTCGGGGGCTTGAACTGCTGGACGGCGTCGACGCACCACTCCCAGTGGGGCATGCGCAGTGGTACGATATGAAGTTGCCCGGCGGGCGGCATTCGTGAGACGTGATGAACCGGACGTGTATCTCAGTTGGAGGGAGACTTTCCAGGGGGAGTCAGTCCCTGAGGCAATCGAAAAAGTCATAATGGTCCTGTCAGCAATGGGATGCGACGTGTTTTCCAATGACTGCCCGTCTTTCCCAGAGAATGTCAATGTCTCGAAGCTTACTTTCTTCAAGTCTTTCTCCAACGGGGTGTCCAAGGGTAGGGAGAATGCGCCGCTGACTCGTTCGCCACGGCCAAGTGGTGTCGACTCAAACGCGAGCTTATTCCCCTGGCGGATGCGCGGCTTTCCAGGCATTGACAGAGGCGGTTGGACAGAAACCTCGAACCATGAATTGTCCAGCGATTGGACTGTCCAGGCATCGTTGGGCACAACCGCGCTCCTTATCCATCCCAGGCACTCCTTGGTATCTTCCAAACTGGCCAGGACTCGGCCGACAACACACTCTTTGCTCCACCAAGTCAGTCCATTGTACGCAAATCCACCGTAGAGGTTTGCAATGGGCCCTAGTTTCGCGAGAGCATCTGGGTCATTCTCCAATATCGTGGCCATCAGGAGGTGGCTGATCTGCTCCCCGGGAAAGACAAAGCCGGACAGCCAGCTCCGGGTAATCCAACCACCAAGATGCACGGACGCCGTCTGATCTCGAGAGCAGTGGAGGACTATCCGCCGGCGGGATGGGCTTCTGGTATGCATTTCTTCTTTACTAAGAGGCGCACCAACTTCAGCGGGCAGCATATTGCGCACGGGCTTGTTATATGCATTAGTGACTGCTTCACTTAGTTGACCCGACCCAATCGCAGACTCCAGGCGCGCTCTGAGTCCATCAAATCCTGGCCAGCCAATTTCTTGACCAAACACAAGGAACCCTTGGAGCTGTTGGTCAAGATATGTTGGGACCAGGTTGCAATTCCAGGCTGACTCGGTGGACTCGGCGGCTGAGCCAGACAACGATCTATGGAGCAAGTTTTCGAAGAAAGAGCGAGGGTTCTTCTCATGATTTCTTTCACCCCTCGAGTGAACCGTTCGTTCTACGGGGTCGAAGCCAGGTTGGTCAGGCTCGTCGGCCCTGTAGCCGATGTCGAATGTATCCATAAAGCGTCGTACCACCACCAAGTCCCAGTCTACTTTCCCGCTCCGTAGCTTCTCGAAATCATCTATGTCTTTTGCGGTGATTTGCAACTCCTTGGAATTATCTAGAATCCCCACCCGGACAGTCGCATCGAGACGGAGAAGTAATTCCGCGGCGAGGAGCATCTGGATAAGGAGCCACCTGCGCTCGAGTGTTGGATGCATCCAGGGTTTTGAGCACGTAGAAGGGTCCAAGAGATCGCCGTCCGGATGAGGACCAGCCTCCCAGAGTAACTGTCCTGCATATAGACGCCACTCGGGAAGACTAAAGTCCACCCACGCACCCCTTGCGGCGAGGGTCATCGTCAAAGCCCTAATTTGAGATTTGAGGCTATGAGCCAGGCTGGAGTCCGCAAGCAGAGGTTTGGAAGGAGGGTAAAGGAATTTGGTGAATAGGCTGCTGTACAAGTCCCGCGTAGATTCGGTATCAAGGATTGTAGTTGCTTTCTGTCCGTGTAATAGCTCACGACGAAGGTTTGTTACGTCCGCAGGCGTTCCACTAAGCACTGCAGATTGATGTCCCGTACGCCAATCTTTTTCCAGGCAGATGGGCCATCACGGAGCAGCTGTTGCCGGTCATATGCAGCGCCCCTATTAATTTCATGGTAATGCTCCATCAGTTCATAGATCTCCGAGGCCGGAATTGAGGAAAGTTGTATGTAATTCAAGTTCATCTTTGGTTCCTCGGGAAAACGTACAGCATCCGCAACCGGGAGCTCTAGGAAATGACGAAACCCAACCGCTCCTGGGTCCTGTGCATTCATTGACAGCATGTTTGGTACTTCAAAAATTCCAATGTCGAAAGTCGCTCTCTTGGCGCCTCCTGTCTTTCTCCAACTATTGAGGTGTATCGGCTCGTCTTTGGAGATTACCCACCTGTCGGGAACAGGTAAGTGGGCATGCAACGTACATACAGTATATGACGGGTGGGGTAGTGGCTTTCTGTCCCACAGATTCTGGATAGTAGGATCGTGGTCATCGAAGGGAAAGATCACCTGTGGGTAATGATGATCATTCTTGCCCCTTTCGAGGAGGAAGAACGGGGCTCCCGAGAAAAGAGTCTCAATGTCTTCTTTGCTGAGAACGTATCCAGATGACGATGTGGCATCATGTTTACCCTTATGGTTGTGCTTTTCTGTAGATGATTCATGCGCCGGCGGGGAGTTCTGGGGACCCGTGTGGCCTTTTGCAGCTGTTGCCGTGTGTTGATTAGATTCGTTTGTACGAGTCTGTTTCTGCAATCAGATCCATTCCAAATTCTTTCTTTTGACGGAATATAAGAAATCAAAGAAGGGGAAGCTTACACTATCATGGCCCCTCTCTGCTGTCGACATCTCTATTTCCGAATCATCTCGATGTCTCCGGAACAGATCTTGAAACACGTTTCTGTCGTGAGCTCCACGACTCTGACTCGGCGCATTTGGAACAGATGCCCGTCTTCTCAATCTCAAATTCGGATCCCTAGGCACGCCATCGTCTTCCGGTGGCGCCCCAGAGACAGAATGCCGACGGCCGAAAAAGAAAGCCATCGTATCTTTCGCGTCGATGTGTGTTAGGGTAATTTGTTTCGTATTCCTATGGCTGAGAAAGGATTCTCTGTCTGTTCGGCATGCCGAGGTAAGTCGGTTAGACGTTGGTGCCCAAAGATAAGTGGATACTCAGTCGTGGGAACTGGCTGTCAAGCGATGTCCTCGTTTACATGGTGGAGGGTCATCTCCTGGGTGCGACGCTTTATATATAAATCGCCACTGTATCGTCTGAGGGACAATTCAAGATCTAGACCAAAGGAAGAAGTTGAGTTGAGATGACGGGAGTTGATAAATCGATGACGTCGGGCAAACCACGGGCCGACTGATGTTACCTGATCCAGTAGGAACCTCAGGGACCGTTTTATCTTCATGGCCTGACAAGCCATGGGGCAATACACATCCGACTCCCGATTTATGCGCTAACCGGGCCGACTTGCATTGATATACGTAAATACACAGTATACCGTAGAATAAACAGCATTGTGGTATGGTCTAGGATTTTGAGGTCAATAGACCCTGATGTCAACCACATCGCCAATCTAGAAAACCCACGCCGCCAGTGTCTATGTAAGAGGGTAAATTGAAAATATGTGCATTTTTATTTCTCTTGGAGACATCAGACTTAAGTAGCATCAATGCATCAGTCATTAGATTTTTCCGAACCCCCCCTCCTCAGCTATTTAGTCAAATTCCATCCCTTAAGCGTGCTTATGGAGGAACTCCAAAGCAGTCTTGTATCCCCTCTCGTACTCCTTGCGGACTTCGGCATCCTCGAGGTTCGAACGAGCTGCCATCCAGCCGTGGATTTGAGTGGAGAAAGTCTCAACGTAGTTCGCGACTTTCAGGTTGGAACCGAAATCCTGGACATCCTGGGGGTTCTCATCCTTGGACGCGAGCACGGCCATGGGGATGGTGACCGACTTCGCATCATCTGGGGCGAGCATAGCGGGGTGGCACTGCACGGCGGCCTTGAAGATCTGGTTGTCCTTGCCCGAGACCAGGGCAGTTATCTTTCCACCCCAGCAGTAGCCCAAGATCGACCAGGACTCGAAGCTGCCGTTGGGGGCGAACTTGTTGGCTTCCGACACAACATCTGGGATCTTAGAAAGGGTGCTGGGGGGCGCAGCCTTGGTCTGGAAGAAGTTGCCGAGCTTCTGCTTGTGTTCCTCGGTCTGGGGAGGGAACCAGGTGATGTCGGCGGGATGGCCTTCGAAAAAGTCGGGCATGAAGACCCGGTACTTCTGCTCATTGGCAGTAGCAAGGATGTCGGCACCCTGGATAGTCTGGTCGAAGAAACCGAAGATGTCTGTTGGTTTTCTTAGCTATGTACGAGCTGCGTGGACGACGAGTAGATGTTACGCACCGTAGACGACTAGGATAGCCTTGGAGGCATTCTCCGGGCCAGTGACGTCTGGGAGCTGTCAGTAAGGGACAATATACTACGCTACCTAGGGTGAAACATACACGTCTTCAAGCCATTGATGGTCTTGTATTCGCCCTTGGCCTGGTAGTCCTTGGGGACAATGGGAGGGATACTGCAATTATTAGGATAGTCCGATACTGTCTATATTGGAGGGGAAGAAGACTCACGAGCAGCAGGCTTTGCTAACACCAGACATGGCGGCAGAAGAGCAATGGAATGGTCGAAATGAAGATGGCGGGGTTTTCACCGATGAGAGGGACCTTCGCAGAGGAGATGTTAGAAGCTGTTTGTAGAACATATTTAGTGAGGAAATAACGCACAAGGAACCAAGATAGGATAATTGGTGACTGCCCGACGTGTAATAGTCAAAGGAAGTTGCTGGGTATGGTAAGAGAGTGATTTCGAGGGATGAGAGCAGGAAGACCGGTGTTTTTTGACTGAAGTATCCGAGGTATCGCTTTGACCCCACCTGGACAACCGACGTCATCGCCGCGACATCCCGGCAGCGTCCACGGTAACCCTCAACTTAGCTTTGATATCAACCCAAGTCTCCATGATAGCTTCTATTTTAGTATGGAGATGTTCCGAATTATATTCTACATAGTCTCATATTCAGTACCACCCGTGAAGACTGGCTTTGAGTCTTGAATTCTTCTCCTGCGCTGGATGAACGAATATCCGCCAAATGTGGAGTCTTGATACACTTACCCAGACCACTTTCTGCTGTACACTAAGAATTTCAATTACGTCGGTTCAGGATAACAATGAAGCGGGCTATCAACTGCATTCACTCAATCCAGTCCAGAGTTTTATTTCTTGGGTAGCTAGACTGGTGCAAAACATCACAATACCCATAACACTTATATTCTCGACGCAATCCTGTACTCGCATGTAGAGAACTACCACTAACCACCGCTATATCATGTTAAATTCCGCGACAACGAGTTCCCTCATACAATAAACTCATCAGAATATTTCCCAAGTCTTCTCAAGCAGATATAGAACGTCCGGCTAAAGCTCAATTGAGAGACCAGATTCTCATCGTTCAGGTTGCTCTCGACAGCTTGACGTTTTCTTCCGGATAAGAGGTTCTGCAGTTTCATGCAGCGCCTAACATTAGTGGTTATCTTTCTTCTTGTCATCTTAGAGAGAGCGTATCTGAATCTCGTGTCTGTGAGGGAAAAATCAGGATATAACAGTTATATTCAGGCTATAGCCATCATACTGTACCTAATGGACAGACACAATAAGAAACGTAAAACCCATATGCCCGTCCATTCATGCAACGTAACCTCATGCCACCCAACACCATAACCATTCTCACCCCAAATGAATACTGGTAAGTCTCTCACTGATAGTATCACAAGCCACCAGTAGCTCGCAAGTCATCCATCAATAGTCTTTCTCCCCAGGAAGCCTCACATCCGCCCAGCCCCGTCCATCCCCAATACCCGGCAAACTCTCCTCCCTCCGAATACCCTTCCACTCGGTCACATTCATCCACCCAATCCGCTGGAACCCGCCGAAGCCACCGATCCAGTAAACATGAGTGACAACCATGCGGACCCAGTGGCTCCTGTGTGGCGAACCCGGCCGCTCCGGCAGCCACACCCGGGCATCTGGGTGAGCTTTAAGATAGCAAGACCGAAGGGCTGCCTCTGTGTCCTCCGGGGCCGGGTTCGGGAAGGGCTCGACGTACCCGAAGAGAGTAACGCGGGGGAGACCGGCAGGGCTGAGCGGGAAGCCGGGCCAGAGCGGCTCGGTCTCGTTCAAATGGTCCCACCAATCGAGGGTGATGCTGATGTTAGATCCTGCAGCAGTGTTGCGGAAGGTGGTTTCGACTTCAAGGGCGAGGAAGGTCGGGTCGCCGTTTCCGCCGTTGCCGCTTGTAGGGGGGAGGGCCTCGTCGCAGTCTGAGACGTATTCTTTCTGACTGATGGATAGGCCGGCTACAGCGGCTGGAACGTGGACGTCCTTAGGGTTGTGTGAGAAAATGGTGGAGGCTACACCGGTAGTGGAGAGAGCGAGGAGTCGGCGGGCCATCAGGGTGGAGGTGAACCATGATGGCGCGGCTGCTGCCTCTGGATCTTTGTCCAAAATGTCGGCATTGTTCTCAGAGGTCGAGGGAAAGTCATAGGTGTCGCCTAGGACTGCCTGGCCGGGGGAGGCATTTTCGACAGCTGAAAGGGGGACTGCTACAGCTTGGAGGAAGAGCAGAGCTAGTGTGGAGGCGAGGGCGAAGCCTCGGTCAAGACCCTTCATGATGAGCGTTCGCCTTGTATATAAAAAGGCAAGGTTTGTAGAGTAGAGATTTAAAGCAGAAATGGAGGTTGGAGGAAAGGGATCTGTTCAGCAGGAAGCTACGCCAAGAATCCTCCCCTCACATTGGAATCCGGATGGTCTGATGATGAGTGACAGTGAGGGGGAACTGCAACAACGCTGGATCTGATCTTATCTGATCACGCTAGGGCGTATGTAGTTAAGCGTGCTGTTCACCTGACTCGCGCAACATCCGACTCCATCCGGAGGTTCCGGCGCACTCCGGCATGGATGCCTGCCTCAGGCTGCCATGGATGACAATGACTCACCGGTCGTTTGCAGCGCCACACGATCGTCGGATGCTCACCGAAACACAGAGAACTGGAATAGCTGTTGCGGTGACTCATGACTTCTATCACGAGACTTATGTCAGATACTACTGGTAGTAGTTGCCTCGCGTGCAGGAATGCCAGCTGGTTCCATGGCTCGGTTGTCTCCTTGCATAAGGCCTTGCGATAGAATTAGGACGATGATGGCCTAAGGCAAAAGAGGCATCACAACCAACCAGTAGTCACACACGTACAATGGAAAGAACTCTTACTTTGACTAGAGAACTCCTTCAAAGAATATAATATGCATTGTAAAACACTAAATCCGCCGCTACACCGTCGACCGAGATGACAAACAACCAAAGAGAACAAAGCAAAAAAAGAAGAAACCCTGCCATTGCCGCACACTCCAGTTCATGATAGTAGTAGTAATAGTAATGAATATCCACGATATGGAACAAAGTAAATGATAAACGATAGTGATAAAACCTCCCCGTCATAGATCATACACAAGTGGACTGCGGGTTACAGGACCACTGCACCAGACAGAGGTGGGCGCAGACTCCGTCGCAGAATTCCAACCAAATCCAACCAACACCAGGGTATATACAAGACGAGAAATGTTTCCCGACAAAAGAAGATATGAGATAAAGTTCACACAAAACTTTTTCCCACCGGATGTCTGCGTTTCCGCCCTCTGTAGGCGTTGAGGCTAAATCAAGATCACTCGGTCGACGAGCTCAAAGGTCGATAAGGATATTATGCAATAAACAATAACTTTTCCTTTCTACAGAAAAAAGAAAAGAAAAGAACAGAACAGAAAGCGAACCTGTCCACTGCATAAATGTTCCGTCCAGCAAACGAATCTAACCCAGGTAGTCCGCACGCATGCTTGGATTCAGTGCAATCTTTCTCGCTTCACTGCCACAACACGCACGCTTCATGCCTGCCGGTCCAGAAAGTGGAACGTTGTAATTAAGAGCGTGTAGTTGGGCAGCCGTGAGAGATTGAGTGCGCTTAGGCCCAGCGTTCAGGAACAGATCAGTCATGTTTCCATCAGGCAACACAGTGCCTTGACTGATGGTATTGGAGTGCACCAAGTGACGGACGTGGTTCTGCAACGCGAAATCGTCTGATCCGGCGCGACCGCGTTTCCGACACTGGCGCTGGTTTCCACTTTGTTGACTCGTCTGGGTAGCACGAGGAGCGGAACCAGACAATGCACAAAGGCTCTGGGCAGCCTCATGAGCGGATGTCATATCAACAGGGGTTCCCAAGGAGAATTTAGACAGCTCCGAAACGTGTCCAGTAGGGCCAGTAAAGCTTTCGGGAGACTGATAAATGTCATTGTAGGAACTCTCATCGATGGGGGACGCAATAGTAACGGCCTTCCGGGTCTCCTTCATCGAGTTGTTAGTAGATCTCAGAGTAGCCTGAATAGCCAGACGAGGCAGGGCAGGACCCGATGTAGTCGAAGACATCGAAGAGGACCGAGACGAGTTGGCAGACAGAGTCGAGACATCCGAAACCATCGAATCTGGCGAAGACGCAGAGGAGGTCGAGCGAGCCAAAGAAGACCGGCGTACTATAGTCGGGTAGCCATCGAACGAGCCAGTCTTAGGGCAAAACGGAAGTGACGGGCGCTGGTCGAGAGTCGACCGCGCCATGCACATGTTTTGCGCCTGGGACATGGCAGCGCAGAAATAGCGCCGGTGAGATGAGAAGGAGCCAGCACTCGCAGCAGGAGTGGAGGCCATGCTCGACTGGGGCGTCAGCTGCGGAGTAGGCAGCGTAGGAAGCCGTGGCAACGACGGAAGGGATACATTGAAGCTGTCAGCCCGAGCGGCTTGCTCAAGAGCTGTAGGAGTCCGCTTAAGAACAGGCACCTCCGACGGGATGGTGGAGGGTTCGCTCGCGAAAGTAGGGAGGAAAGAGCCTCCCATGGTGGTACCACGAGGAGACGGAGAGCCTGCCATCGACCCGGAATCAGAACCCTCCATGCTTGTAGGAGTCATCGGCTCCATGTCGATTTCTTCCAACTCAGGAGTAAGTCTTGGAATGACTGTCTGCCAAGTCTGGCCTTCGCCAGGCATGCCACCAGCACCAGGAGTATACTTCAACACAATATCAGTCCACCGCTGGAAAAGGGCTTCGGTGATGTGTAGTTTCCAATCCACTGCTTGCAGAAACATCAACTCGTTCTGGTTGATCTCAAGTGTATTCAAACCAGAGATTTTGCTCCAAGCGCGGGCGGAGTAGTTTCGGTCCTGGAGGTATTTGGAGGCAAGGATCAGGGCGGCAAGGAACATGCGTCGACCACACTGCATAGCCCGACAGACGGACTTACTCCGAGTCTGGTCATGGGCCAAATCGGGACTGGGCACGTGTGGCTTGATCTTGATCAAATAGTACAACGCCACTTGCAACGTGCTGTAACTGGTCCGGGACCGGCGGAGCGTCTCCTGGATAAAGGTGCGCAGAGGCAAAACACCTTTGCAGCCTGTAGTTGAATCACTTCGGAGCGCTACGGCGGACAAGGGCCAGATGGTCTCGACGATCTGCGACGCGGTGTCTTGATACAAATCTTCAGCTATGGGATCGCACCCAACAATATCCGACTGCACTTACCGACGAGGTTGTCGACAAAGTTCACTTTACGCTCCGACTGACGCAGCAGACAGGGCGGAGGCCGCGCGCAGGACACGCCGTTGGACTGGATACCGCTGTTGGTACGCCGCGGGTGCTTACGCAATTCCGGAGGAACGGCCACATCCACAGCCTTCACAGCGTTACCCCTCAAGGATGCACGCGAAGGGCCCAGTCCCCTTCCTGCTGTTTGGTACTCACCGTCATTTTCCCAGATGACATCAACCGGGTTCGTCGAGGCGGAAGAGATGGATCCGTGGGAGGACACTCTATCGAGAGAGAACACCGATGACGAAGAGGATGATGCGGAGGAAATCGACGATGCGTAAGGGTGCGCATACGACGCTTTGTATGAAACACTAGGGTTTGGTTCTTTCAAACCCAAAACGTCAATCCCTGTCATATTCCGGGGAGCTATCCAGATGAATGACCTGATTTACTTCAAGCAGCAAGTAACTCAAATGACCAATCAGGTGGACGGCAAAACTTGTGTGGAGCTATCCGACGCAAGACCAAGATACGGCAAGGTGCGCTCGTTCAAAAACCGTGAGAAAATCAAATATACCGTTGTGCAATAACCGTTAACGAGATGCTGTAAGACAAGAACCGTCTTTTATTCACAGGCGACGGCAGGCCTTCGAAAAAGAATTCGCCAGGGTGTGTGGGTATCAAAAATCAAAGGGCGGAAAGATCGGGAGGTTATAAGGTCATTCAACTATAAATTGAATGGCAAGGTAGGTCGGGTAGAGGGCGAGGACGTATATCGGGGTTTAGGGTAGGACGTATAAGGTGTTAAAAAATCGAAGGGAGGCGCAAACAAAAAGTATTGTACCGATCACCGGTTGTAGATTCCAGGGCAGATCAACCGAAGTAACGTACGACAAAAGACACGTAGAAAGCGTATCGGGTCCACGCGACTTCCAAGACGACAGGTGCTGTATGAGTCAATCGATCTAGATGAGAGTAACAGACTTGTCGGACTTTCGGAGATCAAAGGCGGAGGATTCTGCAACACTGGTGACCGGAACAAAGTATTTCGAAACAACAAGGTACATCTTGATACTGTGGGGAGTATGTAGTTATAGAAAAGAGCCGCTACGACGGCGGACTGTTAGCAAGCAGGCAGATCCACTTGAGTAGACTGATGCTTGGCCAGGCAGTCAGCTGTCTGTCAAGAGGCTCTTAAGAGGCGATCGACTGTAGTCTGATGGCGAACAAATACAGTCAGCAACTATGGAAGTCCCCAGTTTTTCATATGCTTATGACTCTTTCCGTTGTCAGGGAACGGCAGGTACGCTGCCTATTCTTCGGAGGGCGGAGCGGCAGGCTAGGTAAATGACTAACTGGGGGGCGACCCAGTCAGAAAGAAGGAAGTGGAAGGGAAGAGCAGACAAAGGGATGGCGAAATTTCAAGATTAGGAGGAAATTCGGCCAGTGGCACCAGGGAAAGGGAATGATATGAAAGGAACGTGACTAACAATCTCTTATGAGGGAATGGGGGTTACTCACCGTGACCTGTGGCAAGAGTGGCGGAATACTGAGGAACAGGGCGGACCGCAGGGACCACGTTTTTCTGCCAGACAGACAAGCTTGAGAAAAATAGAAAATCAACTGATGAGCGGAGAGGCAAATGACAAAAAGAAAAACAAGATAAATCGATTAATAGTCACAAATATTAATCATATGGGATGAGAGAGAAAGGGGGGGGGAGAGATGACTCTTTCCACAAAGAAAAAAAGAAGAAGAAGAAGAAGAGGTCGTCGGTCCCTTCTTGAGAAAGGATGACTGGTAGAGGAAAAGGAAGAGTCGTCGGAAGAGGGAGAGAGGAAGAGAGAGTCAGTCTGTCAGCCCTGTTGACGGTAGTGTTTCTGAGTCGTACAGTTACGGCGACGGGCGGGCGGTACTTAGAGGTTCAGGGCGCAGGGACGACGATCGGGAACGGATGATACAGTATGACTCTTTCACTGTCCACCCGAGATAGGGAATTCTGGGCCCGAATTGGGCATTTCATTGCAAAGATCCGCTTTTATTCTTTTTTTACTTTCTTATTACCATTTTCTTTCTCATCAAGACAAATCATCATTTGGGCTTGATCATCTGGTTCTTTCAGATTTGATTGGAATTGTAATCATCCCCCGTTGACATTATTCATCGATTCGATCTCCGGTTTTGATGTTACTCGGTCACCATGCAATACGGTCACTTTCTGCAGTAGCGTCAAGAACCTAAGGGCCGCTCTCGCTCAGTTCCATGCATCATGATATTACTCTTAATAATAACCTAGATTTTGATAGTTAACTATACCTCGACGCCCCAGGATCATATCATTGAAAAAGAATCCAAGGACGATAATATCTTATATTGATCCCGATCGGTATTATCGTAGTGGATACCTCCGGATCCTATCTCTCCAGAAAACAAAGGCTCTCCATATATCAATAGTATGGAGATTTGAGTATCGGACTCATATCAGAACCGAATGACTCGACCGGTAATCCATCGCGATATCGGCAGTATGAAGAGCCTTAGTAAGTACAGCTGTCAACCATGCTGTCGAACATTGAATACATCCATGCATTCCTGTGTGTAATTTTACATCGAAATGACAATAGAGTTATAATCAGGTGCAAATCAACAATGGGTGGCTAGATATCCACAACGTAATAACTATTCGACATGAATCAGGATGAGATCCTTCCCCCAGTGCAACAGACTGCAACATTGTTCCCAGCCGCCGAAGAAGTTTGGTTCAGAGCCAGTGCACACACAGACACACACACACAGTGTTTCTGCTGCCGCGCTCGTCAACGGCCCAAAAGGGTGGTGGTCAGCCAACCACCGCTTCTGGATTTGGCTATTTGCCAGTCCGCGCCACCGGAGTATTAGAAGTTTTTTCCTTTTTTTTTTTTAATTACACTTTACTAAGTTCGGTACAGCCTAGACAGCCAGGCAGTGTAAAGCCGTGGCTGTTCAAATTCACCAAATTTAGGTCCCAAGCAGATATTAGATTTTTCGACCATCATGACAGGTCCTGGCGCCTGGTTACCGCCTATTTTCATTTACCGATCAACCTTCGTGTCTCCCGTATACTAGACTATTAGTTAGTTATACAATTCAATAGAAATGCAGATAGGCAACTAAGGTAATCACCGGAGACGGTAGTGCAAAAAGAACCACTCAGCCAACTGTCCCTGTGGAACCGGCCATTCCCGAAACGGCGGTAGTTCCCAGGCGCCAGGCAACAGGTAACAGAATGAAAGGGTTAGAGGAGAAAAATATTCTCGGCACATGGCAACTCTCGATCATAAGGTACATATCCATGTCTTCGATGCATCTTCTTACACAAGGTCACCTGCAACCTTACCCTATTAACTTTTTGGATCGGCTAATCGTATCGTTAATTTATGAAAGTCCAGCTGAGAAAAAAAGTATTTCTGTTTCCCCCCTTTTTACCTTACTTAATGATCTGGGGTATGTCCTTAAGTTCAGGTAGAATGGACCCGGACTAGGCAGCATACTACTAGTAGACGGGGGGAACTGGGTGTACCATGTACTGTACCTGGCCAACATCAGTCCAGATCTCCTGATGTGTAAGAGTTAATGCAATAATCATCCTTCACGTTAATAGCTTTTCTAAACCACCACCTTACTTCACGAATCTAATAATACTATCACCAAACGATGGCTGTGTCAACGCTACCCCTTCCCCTATAGACACACCACCATACGTAACCATCGATCCAAAATCTCTAAATATACCCCAAACCACCATCCAAGCCTCAATGTACTCCGTAAATCCGTCCATACATACCGTGTGTATAACAGTACATAACCGAACATAAAAAGTCTAATAATAGTTTAGCCTCGAAGGCCCGAAAAGGAAGGTTGACAAGAAATCCGAATGGGAAAGAGAAAGGCTGAGTAACCACTTACGTCGTGCACTACCTAATCCATGACACCACATACCCACGCAGTAAATCGAGTCATGGTCTATTCCGCTTCGGGTTGAAGTTTGTTTCCGAGGTCGAAGAAGAAAAGGAGGGGTGTGGATGCCTTCCCGCCAATGAGGCTTGAGGCATTGTTGCCGGGGGGCTGTTAGGGTGGGGGGTAAGAATTGGATAGCCCCGCACCTTTTGGTCATGATTTCCTGTGGGATGGAGGAATGACATTGAACTTTGGGTGGTATGGGTTGATGGCTGGTTGAGGTTGAGATGGGATGATTAGGTGTTGTTTGTTCTTTGCTACGGATGGTGCCAGGTAAAGTAGGTTTACTCTTACTCTCAGTATGTAAGTTCGTATATACTACTAGTAGTATATCCACAATTCCTACCATATCAACTCCATCATATCAAATGGAACCATCCACCCCGCCAACAAGCAATATCAGAAACAAAGAACCACAGTAGTACGCAGTAAGAAAAGAATATCCACTACGCGATCAACACGAGTCAAACACAAGTACTAGTGCAACAAGCTAAGCCATACCCTCCCCAACCTTAGTCCAACCCTAGAACTCAAAGCGAAACCAACCAGAGCCGATATAAATCCCATCCCCAAGACAATCTCACCATGCCATCATTTGCGGGGTCGGAATCACAGTTCCATCGCAAAGCTGAGAGAAGAAAAAGTACTGGTTCCTGTGTTCTTGTCCGACCAACAAAAACTCTTCCGTGTCTAGAACCGATGGTGTAAGCTTGACACTCGCCCCTTTGGGCACCTTGCAGAAGGATGATGTATGCTAATGCATGCATGTTGCTTCATGGATTCACTAAGGTATGATGTTGGGTTGGCGTGGTTTTGCCTTTGGTGATTGGTAGTGGATGGTGTTGTATTATTGAGGTCTGGGATAGAGTCTAGGGTACTAGTATTAATTCGGTTAGAGCAGTATGGACATAGTCATATCGACTGATTTATGTTTCTACCACTGTATATCTCCGTCTGTTCAGCATGGGCTTGTGTATGCTCCAGGTCCATCATTAGACACTTGTCTACGTTACGAGGCCATCTGCGATCGGTCCAGACTTGCACAGTCAATGCAAGTACGTTGTCAAGAAGTGTGGCCTCAATCATTCATCAATCAATGAAGTTTCTATTAAGCTATAGAGCCTAGTTATTGAGTATGTAGCTATACAGGCACTTCGCCAGTGAGACACGATCTGAACTGAATACACCTTATAGTATCCCTAGGTCCTATATTGTACAGATATATATAAAACACTGCACAGCTAAGCCAAAAACCTGTATATAACCAAACTATCTGCCTCATGTCTAAGGCAAATATCTTCCTTTCTCTGCTCACTATATAGTACTATATAAGTAATATTATTCTAGATTAATTCTCTAGAGATCATTGTGTGGCTATTTAATCAATGTCTTCACTATCTGCTCCCCTGGTGGTTTGTT